AACCAGAGGAACGTGGAGGATTGGTGGCTGATAAAACAAAGGAGCCTGACAGGCTGATCAGGCACAGGTGATATGAGTGTGGGCGGGGCATACAATTCCAGGTATTCAAATAAAATCTGCATTTCTGCTCTGATTTATTTCTTGGTAAAATCCAACTGTTTCTCCAACAGGTCGAGCACCAGTGCTCCTGCCCACAGGCTGCTGGTAAATGTCCCACAGGGGGCGCCATTTCCACTCCTGCACGTGGCTTTGCAACCGCACTCCATGAACAGAACAACACCAGCAAACATGGAAACTCTTGGACTGAGCTGCAGAGTCCGTCTGAGCTCCTCCTCCTCTACGTTCCTGACCGCCGTCCGTCCGAGGTGTACGACAGCATCGCTGCTTTCTCCTCCAAGTAAACACGCCTACTTTTATGAAGACATGTGGGCGTGGCTATATGGAGACTGGATAAATGGCCTGATTTCCAGTGAATAACAGCGTTACTTTCTTCAGTAACGAGTAATCTAACTAATTACTATTTCTGTCGTTACAGCGCCGTTACAGGTACTAACAAGTAAACGCCGTCCGTTACTATTGTTCAACAATCAGATGTTGAAGCTGTGTTCAGCTTATATCAGCTGCAGGAAGTAGCTGTAAGTAATCCGGGCGCTACAGCTTTAAGCAGCTGCGCTCCCACGGACGGTAACGAGCACTGTCTAACACAACAGCTGGAGCTCAGGAGGCAAAACATGCACGAGTGCTGCTGTTTGACTGAGGAAGAGTAAAGCAGTCGTGGTCAATCACATGACCACGTACAGACAAAGCAACAAGGTGACATATACCAGTTTATAAACTGTAAAACCAGAGTCATGATAAACAAGATATACGCGTTTGTTCCTCAATAGTTTCACGTTTGCTGTCTAAGGACAGCGAGACCGCTCTGCTTATCAGCAAAAAACAAAAACAAAACAACAACCAGTTTGTGTTGGTGGAAAAATGTCGATCAATCAAAAATGATATGGCAACATGACATCTGGTTGTTTAGGAAGAGAGAGAGAGAGCGAGTTTTGAGATGTGAGAGATTTGTGACGTTTACCGTGTTTGCAGTGTGTAGTTGGTGTGTTTTGTTGTGTAGTTAGTGTGTAGTGTTGTGGATAGTTTTGTGTTGTGTGAGAACAATGAGGCGGCTGCTGTCTCCAGGTAGAAACAGCAGTGACACACCTGCTGCTGTCAGACCTGCAGGTATCAGCTGTGATGTTCTTTATAGTGGACAGAAATATTTGGCACAAATAATTTGTGGCATCTTATTGAAGAACAGCTGATTGTTCTGTAAACAGTTTGAAATGGTTATTTAAAAAATCAAGGTAAAAGGTAAATGGCTGCAAATAACTTTGTTGTTTGCAAAACGTGTGCATATGATTTTAATTAAACATGTTTGTGGTTGTTACAGTAAAAATATAACTTTTTCTACTCTGATTTTATGTTTTTTGTCTGATTTTAGATCAGTTGTGTTAACACAGTTTGTCAAAATAAAAGCATGACTGTAGATTCAGACACGTGAGGCTGATGAGACCAAACAAGACAAAGTAAACAGTTTTAATGTGGAGGAAACATCAGAAGTGGTTAAAATGGCCGATTATACGCAGGACCCCAGAGAGTTAAATGTTTTTGTTTTTTTTAAAGTAACACAATAGTTACTTTTCAAGTAATTAATTACTTTTTGAATCTTGTAACTCAGTTACTAACTCAGTTACTTTTTGAAGAAGTAACTAGCGACTATAATTAATTACTTTTTCAAAGTAACTTGCCCAACACTGCTGATTTCTGATTAGCTGACACACTCCAGCGTCAGCGCCTGCAGAGCTCAGCCTCTGTGTCAGCCGAAGGTTAAAGTTTCAGGGTTTCTACAAAGTTATTACAGCAGCTGAGCTGCTTCAGTCCTCTCAGCCCATTAAACAGTGGCTGACACAGAAGGGCTGCTGACAGCTGTAATTACGCCTTCACTCAGGATTAAATTGCAGGGTAACACGTTCATGCTGTGTTTGGAGATCGCCCCTCAGTCGCCTCTCCTGCTCTAATCTTCACATTACAGTGTGACCGAGGGCTGCTTCATTTAGCTTTAATTGGTTTTTGAAGTGTCTGCAGAGGCTCACCATCCGTCCATCAGACCGCTCTGAAGTGGTGGAAACGCTTCCCGTCCATCATCCCCGGGGACAGCAGAGGATCGTTCCTCACTGTGATGACTCGCCGTCGGCGTCACAGAAGTTTATGGTGGTACAGACAGCACAGAGGAGACGCTCCCAGCTCAGCGGTTTACAGCTGCAGGGTCACGGCGGACTCCTCTGTCCACAGACAGCTGCCGGGTCTGCAGTGGCTGAACAGACCCAACAGCTCAGCCATCGAACGTCGCCCAGTCAGCAAACCATCAGTGAACCCTCGTGTCGTCGCGCTGCACGGATCGGCGGCGACTCTGAGGAGACCCAAACCCGTCTGCACAGCCTCACAATCCGTGAGCAGAGCTCTTTATGTTGACGCTGCCTCTGACAGAGAGGACAGGAGGACTTCTTGGCATGAAGACAGCTGCAGTCAGAGATGATATATGGAGCACGAGTTAGGGCAGAAATGAGCGTCCTTGAGAGAGGCGGTCATAAACGGCCCACAGCTGACCCCTGACCTGCACGTGTGCTAATCAATAACTGAATCCTACACATGTACAGATAATCAGTGCAACATGAGGCCCGTCGTTCCCCACAGAAGAGGAAACTATCAATCACACTTTAAATAGATTAACCCTCAGAGTGCACAGCAGAACCAGGTCACCTGTGCGATGTTTATGTTTTATAACTTTCTCAGATTTGATGAATTATTTAGAGATTTAATTCAAACATTGATGAACTGACTCATTGATTTATACTTGAAAAGATTGTCGACTCTCATTTGAACCCTGCTACCAGCTGATTGATTAGCGGCTGTGTGCTTTCAGAGGGCTCGAGGACGTCTTTGTTATCCCCAAGCAGCGATTTGTTGCAGTGAGCAGAAGCAGCAAACAAGCAAGTAAAATGTCATAAACAGACAAAAACAAGCAGAGGTAGACAGATAT